TGGACTATGGGAACTCTCTCCTCGCGGCCTTCCCGCCACCTCCCTCCACAAGCTGCAGGTCATTCAGAACTCTGCAGCTCGTGTACTGTCCCGCACCAGACACCGCGACCACATCACTCCCACCCTCGCTCCCTCCACTGGCTCCCCATCCCCAGAGGATTGATTTCAAGATCCTCATCCTCACCTACAAGGCCATTCACGGCCTTGCTCCCTCCTACCTCTCCAACCTACTATCCCCTACCTACCTGCCCGTACCCTCCGTTCCTCTGGCTCCGGTCTGCTCCACATCCCCCGCCCCAACCGCCCTACCATCGGTGGTCGGGCCTTCAGCCTCTCAGCCCCGAGGCTCTGGAACTCCATCCCCCAGTGCCTTCGCCGCTTCCTCCCTTTCCTCCTTCAAGGCCGGTCTCAAAACCTTTCTCTTTGACCGTGCCTTCAGCTCCCCTCTCGACTCTCTTCCTCCTCCTCGCTCCCTCCCTTCCCTCCCCTCACCCTGACCATTTCCCCCCTCCTCTCTCCCTCCCTTCCCTCCCCTCACCCTGACCATTTCCCCCCTGCTCGGGTCATGACCCAACTGTGCAGCGCCTTGGGACGTCCTCCTGACGTGAAAGGCGCTCTATAAATGGAATCTTGTTGTTGTTGTAGAAACACATACTCGATCACAGTTACGCAGACAGATAAACACACACACCCGCTACAAGTCAAGAGACGCGATTTAGCAGCCAATAAACATTTCCACAGTCACTAAACTCCAGACACGGCCAATAAACAACAGCTGCAAACGCCTACCAGTAAACACCAGCCATAACTACTAAACACCACCACAGCCACGAAACAACAGCGAGCAGCCAATAAACACCAGCTTACAGCCACTGAACAGACTGGGAGAATCAATATCGATTCCACTGAGAAATGTGCAGACCCTCAACACATATCCAACTCATCCAAAATTANTTTTTTTTTGTGTGTGTATCTACCTCCACCTCCGGTTATCACAGAGGAAGGCCCCACCCTTCACGGGTATTATACAGAGAGAGAGAGATAGATAGAGATGGACAACTTCTGAGCAGCCTTTCACGATCTGCTTTTTTCTCAGACTTAAGTTCGGCAGATGTCTGAAGCTTCAGCCTTTAATTTCTGTGGTCCAGTGATCTTACATCTGTGCTGAAGGATCTAATTGCTCTTTGTTTCAGAGGTGTGAACTTCTTTCCTGCAAAATATGGAATGTATTAGGAAGCTGATCTCGATCAGTCCAGCAAAGCTCTGCTTAACCCCAAGGGGCAAGGAAAGGGGGGCTGTAAATTGGGTGGTTGTATGAAAGGTTAGAGGGATTGCGGGTGGGTAATTTGACGAGCAAAGTGCTATATCAAGGTCAAGTTATGTGTTTTTTAATAATCTGCATGTTATCTTCATCAAATTGAAAAGGTACAACAGAGAATAAGGCGGTACTAGTTAACAGAGCAAAGTTTCCGCAAGTACCCAGCGGGCGGCCCTCAGCCATTCTGCCCCACTCGCTGGTACTCCATCCCACAGTCCCTCTGCCTCGCCCTCTCCATTGGCTTTTTGAAGACCCATCTCAAGACCCTCCACTACGACCGTGGCTTTGCCCCCTCCCCAATCCCAACCCACAGCTCAGGTCTGACTGTCCAGTGCCTCGGGACATCCTCCCGATGCGAATGCTGCTGTACAAATGTGATGTTATTCTTGTTCTAACCTTCAGATGTTTAGGTTTTCACCAGTTGTCTTCTCCGTCAGAAACTTACAAAACAAACGAAATTATCATGAACTCTCTCCTCGAGATATTTGTCCTTCATATCGACGTTGATGTGAAACCTAAAAGCCACAGTGAACCCGCGATTCAATGCCATTCCAGCGCTTGGCTCTCAGTGTCAGAGAACACAGACAATTCATTGAAGGATATTCTGTGAAGACGCGATAAGGCGCTGTACCAAATGCAAGAATTATTATTATTATATTAAATTAGTCATATAAAATGCTATGATCTGGACCGATACAACTTCTGTCATGTTTTAACAGTATAATGTTGAGGTGTTGCTGGATGGCTATTTGATGTCTGTTGGATCAGAATGGAATCTTTTCTAATCCAAAGCGTCCACATCTCTTCATTTATTTCCAATGCTGAACATTAGTGCCCTTATGGTTTCCGGAGTGTTATTTGAAGGCGGCGATATAATCGGTGGAGTCCTGTAGCGGAAGCAGTTAGTGCAAACACCAGTAATTTGAGAGATAACACTGATAATATTTGCATTTGTTATGGCGCCGCATCACATCTTAAAGCGCAACACAGGATATAGTGTAAAGTGAACTCACTGTGTGTATTGTGGGCAATATATTTGGGTGAGGCCCCAATGTCTGGGCTCTCTGTGGATCAAGTGCGTGGATGACTGTAGTGACGGGATCCGCCTTTGTCATTCGGGTAAAAAATTCCAGAATTGTTTGTGTGGGTTATTCATTGGCGTCGGGAGGCCTCAGTGTGAGGTTTAAACGGTCGATGGGTTCAGTCGCCTCTGTCGGTCGGTTGTCTCTCTCTCTCTCTGTGTGTCTCTCGTCGCCTGACTTTGGCGCCTCTTTTTCCCTCTGACTCGGCGCCTGCGCAGTGGTGTCCCTGAGCGCGAGGCAGACGTTTTTTTTTGAACTCGGCGCCTGCGCAGTGCCGCCTCTGTCTGTCCGCGCGCTTGGCCGACGGTTTTTTTTTGAACTCGGCGCCTGCGCAGTTGTGTCTCCGCGCGCGAGGCCGACGGTTTTTTTTTGAACTCGGCGCCTGCGCAGTGCCGTCTCCGGGCGCGGGGCTGACGGTGTTTCGGGGCGCGGCGCCTGTCTGTCTGAGCGCGAGGCGGGACCGCGGGAGGTGGTGATGGCGGCGGAGACGACGGTCAGTGTCGGTGACAGAGAGAGAGAGAGTGTGAGAGAGAGTGAGAATGTGAGTGTGAGTGTGAGACAGAGAGAGTGAGAGAATGTGTGAGAGAGTGTGTTAGCGTGTGAGAGAGCGACAGTGTGACAGAGAGAGTGAGAGAAAGGTGTGAGAGTGTGAGAGTGAGTGAGTGTGTGAGAGAGTGAGAGTGTGTGAGAGAGCGTTTGAGAGAGATAGAGTGTGTTAGAGAATGTATGAGAGAGTGAGAGTGTGAGAGATAGACTGTGAGAGAGAGTGTGTGAGAGAGTGAGAGTGTGAGAGAGAGACTGTGTGAGAGAGAGAGTGAGAGAGTGAGAGTGTGAGAGATAGAGTGTGTTAGAGAGAGAATGTGTGAGAGAGTGAGAGTGTGAGAGATAGACTGTGAGAGAGATAGATTGTGTAAGAGAGAGAATGTGTGAGAGAGTGAGAGTGTGAGAGATAGAGTTTGAGAGAGAGAGAGTGTGAGAGATAGAGAAAGAGTGAGAGTGAGAGATAGAGAGAGAGTGTGTGAGAGAGTGGAATTGTGTGTTTCTGTGTATAATATTATTAAGTTTTATGGTCCGAACTGATATGACTTCTGTGATGATGTATTGAGGAACATTGAGCGGTTTCGGGGCGGATGATATTCCCGTCTCATTTGCCTGTTGTACACTGTGGGATCAGACGGGACCTTCATTCCAGGCCGAGGGGAGAGAGGGACTGAAGCTCCAACAATATTCTTCCACATTCATTCATCCATTTCTGATTCGGGGTATTATTTTTCTCGCGGTTTGTGGGGATGTGATCTGTGCGGAGCGGTTTAATCGGTGGAGTCCTGTAGTGTCGTAGTGAGTGCAGTCACTCGTCATTTGAGTGTTTGCAGTAACAATCCTTGTGTTTGGTACCGAGTGCACACAAACACACACACACACACAGACAGAGACACACAGACAAACAGACACACACACAGACACACACTCTCAATCTCTGTCAGTCTCTGTCACTCTCTCGCTCACACTCTCTCCTCTCACACACATTGAACCAGGCTGACGCATAGAGACACACACAGACACCGAGCCACTGACATACATAGACACACACACACGCACTGACATACACAGACACACACACAAACACTGACATACACACATACAGACACCGAGCCAGAGGGAGTTTGACAGAGGTAGAGACAGATTGATTGTTACAGAGACTGATAGAAGCGAAACAGAGTGTGAGAGCGTGAGTGAGAAAAGAGGGCGAGAGTGATTGACATAAATGGTGGATGGAGTGAAATAGACAGACGGGCTGTGGCGAGAGTAAGAAAGCGAGACAGAGAGAGAAAGCAGAGACAGAGAGTGAAAGGGAATGATTGAGCGTGTGGGAGGAGAAAGTGTTTGCGAAAGAGGAGAGTGAAGAGGGGGAGTGAGTGACAGAGAAAGTGGAGATAGAGAGAGTGTGAGAGGGGAAAGAGAGTGTGAGAGCGGTGATGTTTTTTGTGAGAAAGGGTGTGTGAGAGGGTAACAGAGAGGGAGGGAATGTGTGAGAGAAACAAAGGGAGAGAGAGCAGAGACTGATTGAGAGAGTGATATGGACAGAGTGTGAGTTGAAAGAGTGAAAATGAGCGAGAAAATCCACAACATTTAACACAATATTAAAAACATTGGCATTTCCAATAACGTTATTTCTTCCTTTCCCATTTAGTTTTTCGAGAAATCCCTGAAGCCAAACTTTTGTACCACACCCACAAACAAAGAACCATAGAGATGTACAGCACAGACGAAGATTATTCAGCTTACGGTGGATGTGGTGGCACTTTTTGATATCAATTCTTTCAGTCCCGTTTCCCTGCTCTGTTCCCTAATCCACTTTTAGATAGTTCACTCCATTCATATCGATATGTAGACATGTTTTGAAAACCAATATGGATTCTGCATCAACATCATTCCCGCTCGGGCTTTCCATAACCCAACAACCTAATGTGTAGGACAACATATACCACAAACCTCCTCATTTACTAGTTTGCTATCTCTCTATCTTAAATTGATGCTTTAAGAACTGAACCTCGACCAGTGGAACTTTTATAGCAGGTAAAGATTGAGTTTCTGTGGAAATCTCCTAGGGAACAGGGCGAGGCTATGATTTACTGCCAGATGTTAGCTGCTGGACTCTGGCCAGGGTGTGTTATTACCTCTACAGCTCAGAACACTGAAGCCACATCACGAAGAGGCTCGGGAACCAGAGGCAGGAACCGCAGCTCAGTCAGTGGGGAAACAAGACGGTGAGTCTCTCATTAGCTCTGATTGTGGCTGAAATAAAACAGTAAAGTTACTCCAGGTTTTAAGCACTTGGAATGAGAGGATAGAAGAAATAGAGTGCACATGAGAATTGAGAGGGAGAGGTTGGAGGGAAGAATGGTTGACAGGAATAGGGAGAGAATGATAGAGAGAGAGAGAGAGACAAAGAGAGAGAGAGAGACTGTAGATGAGTGAAAGAAACAGAGACAGGAAGAGGGGGGGGGGGGGGGGGGGAGAAAAAATCAGAGTGTGAACGAGTGATCGATAGTGTGAGAAGGAGTGTGTGTGTTTTAGAGGGGGAGACAGAGTGCGGTAGAGAGACGATGGGGTGAGAGAAAGAAACAGAGACCGGGAGGGAAAGAGGGAATAAGCAAAGCGGTGAGAGATTGGCAGTGAGTGACTGCACGACAGAGGCGAAGAGGTAGCTATTGAGTGAGAGAGTGTGTGTGAGAATGTGAGTGAAATGTGAGGGGCAAAGCGATTGACAGAAAGGAGGTGAGAAGGAGAGAGGTGGTGAGAAAGAAACAGAGATATGGAGACAGAGATTGAAAGAAAGTGAATAAGATTGTGGGAGGAGAGAGTGTTTGTGAAAGAGAGGGAGAAAAGGAGGAGTGAGTTATCGAGAGAGCGTAGACGGAGAGACTGTGAGAGGGGAAAGGGAGTGTGAGTGGAGGGAGGGCTGGTGTGGGAGATGAGTGTGATAGAGAGAGAGGAACTGAGAGAACAAAAGAGTGTCGGTAAGACAGAGCGAGAGGGGGGAGCCAATGACTGAGAGAGGACAGAGGGAGTTTGTGTGAGAAGTAAAAGAGAAAATGAGAGAGAAACTTCATAACATTTAACACAATAAAAAACAGCGTTTCCAATATATTTTTTCCTTCCTTTACTGATCAGTTTTTTTGTAAATCCCTGAATCCAATCTTTTGTGCCACACTCACGAACAAAGAATCATGTTGATATGCAGCACAGAAGAAGGATGACTGTGGCTATTTTTATGAAAATCCTTTCAGTCCCATTTACATTGCTCTTTTCCCAAACCCCTTTTTAGATAGTTGACTCCATTTAGATCGATATCTTGATGGTCTAAAAACCAATCTGGAATCTGCCTGAAACCTCATTCTCACCAGTGCTTTCCATAACCCAACAACCAACTGTGCCGGAAAACAAATTCTCCAAACGTCCCCATTTGCCAGTTTGCTAACTCTCTGAAATTGATGCTTTAGGGATTGAACTCTGACCAGAAGGACTTTTATATCAGGTAAACTTGAGTTTCTGTGGAAATCTCCAAGGGAACAGGGCGAGGCTATGATTTACTGCCAGACATTAGCTGTTGGACTCTGACCAGGGTGTGTTGTTACCTCTACAGCCCAGAACACTGAAGCCACTTCACTGAGAGGCTCGGGAACCAAAGGCAGGAACCGCAGCTCAGTCAGCGGGGAGACAAGAAGGTGAGTCTCTTATTAGATCTGATTGTGGCTGAAATAATGTCATACTATTATCCCAGGTTGTAAGCGCACAGAGAGAAAAACCCATATAAATGCAAGTGTTGTTGTTCGTGCAACATTTATTGTAATTAAGGAAACCAGGAGTAACTGAATGAGCAAGAGTTAAAATATCATTTGTTTCATAAACGGAAGATCTCGCTTTACGACTTTGATTACGGTCACCTCTTCCCTCCCTCACACATAGTGTCCTCCACCACTCCAACATTCTCCGACATACTGTCCGGCGTGTTGGCCGCTATATCAATGCAAGTTGTTGCTGTTATTTGAATTAATCATCGTAGAACCGTTTAAGAAATCAACGGTCTCCGAAATCCATTGGGGAACTTGATTGATCTGAACTATTGTTAACATACTAATGTGGAATTTAAGCAACAGCCAGGCGGTCGGGCCGAATCTGAGCTGTACTTTCTATGCATCTATGAATCAGCTTGTTTCATCCTTGTTCAAAGTTCATTCCTCAATCATTTGTGATTATCCTGGTTGTTCTCTTCTGCACTACCTTAAGGAACTGTGCCAACACTTTGGTCAGCCATTGCCTCAATCCTTCCACCTTGCGGTTTTGGTTGGTTGGACTCCAGCAGTTACCCCAACACACATTCTGGTCTCCCCAGCCTTGACTCTTGCCAACCTGCTCCTAATGCTCTCCGAATTAAGTGAGCAGAGTGGTCCGTCCAGAGGGAGGGTGCTCATTCCATTCCAACAATCTAACTCTGGAGTTTCCATATGTAGTTTGGGATGTATGAAAATCTCAGCTTTGTTTTGGATCATGTTCGGTTTGTTGATCGGTTTTCGGTTGGACAGACACTCGGCTGACAAAAAAATTCAGCTCAGATACCTCACTGCTGCTTATGTGCTCCAAGCTGCAACCCGCGAGAAGGGCACTATATTGTTGCTGTTGTTGCTATTCTTTTTATTGCCTCCTCTGAAACTTTACTTTTGTTGGGCGCAGCTTGTCCAACGATAGTTTAAGACTCATCCTTCCAATTCGCGAGATCAATCTTCTCCGAATATACAGACGATATAGAGACAATGGGATAATTCTGAATGGTTCCCACTTTCTTTTATGCTGTTAGAAATAAGACTAAATTATATTTCAGTCTAAAATCTATCGGACGGAATTTCGCCATTTTCTTTCTCTTTCCCACAAGTGGAAATGAGTTTTCATAAAATGGTGCTCAAGTTGTTGACTTTCAAGGACTAACTGCCTGGTCCCAAGTCCGGAGCCCAACCCAGAGTTACATTAACTGAAAATAGCCATAAAAGGCAACGCTGCACATTGGCAATGATAACGTTTCACTGACTATTGCAGAAATGAGGTTCAAAGATCAGGATCAGGAGATTAGATAGAGAGTGCAATGGATGCTCTAAATTGGGTGGTTTGTTAAAATGAATCTAACGTAAGTTTGAATGTCACGCTGGTGTTGGTCTGATGATGGATCGGAAAACAGATTCCCAACTACTCTTGCTCTGTAGCAGATTGCTGGAGACGAGCTTTATTGGTGACAATCTCTGAAATGGAAAATGACCAGAACTCGTCACTCATCTTCTTGTTGTATTAACTTACACAACAACAAATCTTTGTAATCAAATTCGTGCAGCGTATAATCACAGAGCACATGAGAGAATGGGTAAGAGACGTGAAACACGATACATTGAGGAAGAATGAGAGTATAAAGGAGATAGCGGGAGTGCGCCTGAGATATGAGAGACAGTCCTATTTACAGAAATGGAGGAGAGTGCGTTAGGGAGAGGATGGGCATGAGAGAAAGAAGCAGATTGATGGAGAGAGAGCTGGAGACAGCACTGATTGAGTGAGTGAGTGAGATTGTGTGTGAAAGTGGTGGTGAGGGGCAGTGAGGGAGAATAATAATAATAATATTCCTTGCATTTGATATAAGGCTTTTCACGTCTTCTAGACATCCTAAAGTGCTTCACAGTACATACTGTAAAGTGAATTAACTGTATGTTTATGGGCAAACGCGGCAGTCCATTGCGCACAGCAGTGTCCCACAAACAGTCGTAACTTGAAAATGACCAATTTATTATGTTTTTTTTGGAGGGATTGTTATTAGGCGTGTGGAATGAGGAATCTTGCCCAAGGTTTCGCCCTCTGCCTGGAATTGAACTCAGTTCTCTCACTTGCAAAGCGAGTGCTCTAACCATTGAGCTACAGGACTCTGAATGATTGTGAGAGAATGAGAGAAGAGAGTGTGTGTTGGTAAGAGTGTGAGTAAGAAATGAGAGAGACAGTGGGGGTCGAGGGGTGGATGGATAAGGAGTAACGAGAGAGATAGATGAGTGTGGGGTGAGAGAATGAAACAGGGAGTGGCAGAAACAAAGAAGTAATAGAAAGGCAATAAGTGAGTGTTTGATAGAGGAGGCGTCAGATTGATTGATACATAGACTAATAGAAGAGAAACAGAGGGTGTGAATAAAAACTGAGGACGAGAGTGATTGACAGAAAGGGTGGATGGAGTAAAAGAGAAAGACGGGCTGGGGTGGGGTGGGGGGGGGGGGTGTGTGGGTTGTGGCGAGTGTAAGAAACAGAGAGAGGAATGGAGAAAGCAGAGACAGAGTGTGAAAAGACTGATTGAGCGTGTGGGAGGAGTAAGTGTTTGCGAAAGAGGAGAGTGAAGAAGGGAGTGAATGATAGAGAGAGGGGAGATAGAGAGTGTGAGAAGGGAAAGAGAGATGAGAGGGTTAATGTGTGGGGAGAAACGGTGTATGAGAGAGAGTAACAGAGAGGGAGGGAATGTGTGAGAGAAACAAAGAGAGAGGGGGGAGAAAGTGATAGAATGTGATACAGAGAGTGTGTGAGAGGAAAGAGAGAAAATGAGCGACAAATTCCACAACATTTAACACAATATTAAAATAATTGGCATCTCCAATAAGCTTATTTCTTCCTTTCCCGTTTAGTTTTTCAAAAAATCCCTGAAGCCAAACTTTTGTACCGCACTCACAAACAAAGAACCATAGATGTACAGCACAGACGAAGGTTACTCAACTTATGGTGGATGTGGTGGCACATTTATCACAGTTCTTTCAGCCCCATTTCCCTGCTCTGTTCCCAAATCTATTTGTTGATAGTTCACTCCTTTTGGATCAATATGTAGACATGTTTTGGAAGTCAATATGGATTCTGCCTCAAACACCACTCCCTCCAGCGATTTCCATAACCCAACAACCAACTGTGCAACAAAACAAATTCTCCAAACCTCCCATTTGCCAATTTGCTTAACATCTTAAATTAATGCTTTGGGCACTGAAGCCCGACCAGTGGAACTTTTATATCAGGTAAGCTTTCGGTTTGTGTGGAAATCTCCAAGGGAACAGGGCGAGGCATTTTGCCAGATGTCTGGTTTATTGCCAGACATTAGCTGCTGGACTCTGCCGAGGGTGTGTTATTACCTGTATAGCCCAGAGCACTGAAGCACATCACTGAGACACTCAGGAACCAGAGGCAGGAACCGCAGCTCAGGCAGCGGGGATTCAAGACGGTGAGTCTCCCATTAGCTCTGATTGTGGCTGAAACAAAACTGTAAAGTTACTCCAGGTTTTAAGCACTTGGGGTGAGAGGATAGAAAAGAGAGAGTGCGCATGATAATTGAGAGGGAGAGGTTGGAGGGAAGAATGGTTGACAGAAATAGGGGAGAGAATGATAGAGAGAGTGAGAGAGAGAGAGTAGATGAAAGAGACAGGGAGAGAGAGGGGGGAAGAAAAATCAGAGCGTGAGTGAGTGATTGAGAGTGTGAGAAGAAGAGTGTGTGTGTTAGAGGAGGAGAGAGAGTGCGTTAGAGAGATGATGGGGTGAGAGAAAGAAACAGGGAGTGAAAGTGGAAATAAGCAAAGCGGTGAAAGATTGGCAGTGCGTGACTGTACGGCAGAGGTGAAGAGATAGCTATTGAGTGAGAGAGTGTGTGTGAGAATGTGAGTGAAATGTGAGGGGGAAAGTGATTGACAGAAAGGGGTGAGAGGGAAAGAGGTAGTGAGAGAAAGAAACAGAGACCTGGAAACAGAGAGTGAAAGAAAGTAACTAAGATTGTGGGAGGAGAGAGTGTTTGTGAAAGAGAGGAGGGAGAAAAGGAGGAGTGAGTTATTGAGAGAGCGTAGACAGAGAGACTGTGAGAGGGGAAAGGGAGTGTGAGTGGAGGGAGGGCTGGTGTGGGAGAAGAGTGGGATAGAGTGAGAGGAATTGAGAGAATGAAAGAGTGTCTGTGAGGCGGAGCGAGAGGGGGAGCCAATGTCTGAAAGAGGACAGAGAGTGTGTGAGAAGAAAAAAAGAAAAAGAGAGAAATTTCTAAACATTTAACACGATAAAAAAATGGGCGTCTCCAATATGCTTTTTTCGTTCCTTTACTGATAAGTTTTTTTTTTAAAATCCCTGAATCCAATCTTTTGTGCCACACCCACGAACAAAGAAACATCGAGATGTACAGCATGGAAGAAGGATGGCTGTGGTGACTATTTTAATGCCAATCCTTTCAGTCCCATTTGCATTGCTCTTTTCCCAAATCCCTTTTTAGATAGTTGGCTCAATTTAGATCGGTATCTGGTGATGAACTGAAAACCAATATGGAATCAGCCTCAAACATCATTCCCACCAGTGCTTTCCATAACCCCAACAACCAACTGTGTAGGAAAACAAATTCTCCAAACGTCGCAATTTGCCAGTTTGCTAACTCTCTGAAATTGATGCTTTAGGGATTGAACCCTGACCAGAAGGACTTTTATATCAGGTAAACATGAGTTTCTGTGGAAATCTCCAAGGGACCAGGGCGAGGCGATGATTTACTGCCAGGCATTAGCTGTTGGACTCTGACCAGGGTGTGCTATTACCTGTACAGGTCAGAACACTGAAGCCACTTCACTTAGAGGCTCGGGAACCAAAGGCAGGAACCGCAGCTCAGTCAGCGGGGAGACAAGAAGGTGAGTCTCTTATTAGATCTGATTGTGGCTGAAATAATCTTATACTATTATCCCAGGTTGTAAGCGCACAGAGAGAAAAACCCATATAAATACAATTTGTTATTGTTCGTGCAACATTTATTGTAACTAAGGAAACCAGGAGTAACCGAATGAGCAAGAGTTAAAATATAATTTGTTTCATAAACGGAAGATCTCGCTTTACGACTGTGCTTACGGTCACCTCTTCCCTCCCTCACACATAGTGTCCTCCACCACTCCAACATTCTCCGACACACTGTCCGGCGTGTAGGCCGCTATATCAATGCAAGTTGTTGCTGTTATTTGAATTAATCATCATAGAATGGATTAAGAAATAAATGGTCTCCGAAATCCATTGGGGAACGTGATTGATCTGAACCATTCTTAACATATTAATGTGGAATTTAAGCAACAGCCAGGCGGTCGGACCAAAACTGAGTGTACTTTATATGCATCTATGAATGCAAGAGCCTCAGCTTTTCTCAACCTTGCTCATAGTTCATTCCTCTAACACTGGTGATCATCCAGGTTGTTCTCCTCTGCACTACATTAAGGATCTGTGCTGACGCTTTTGTCAGTCATTGCCTCAATCCTACCATCTTGCGGTTTTGGTTGGTTGGACTCCAGCAGTTACTCAGCTTTGTTTTGGATCATGTTGATCGAGTTTCGGTGGGACAGACACTCGGCTGACAAAAAAATTTCAGCTCAGATACCACACTGCTGCTTACATGCTCCAAGCTGCAACCCACGAGAAGGGCACTCTATAGTTGTTGTTGCCATTGTTTTTATTTCCTCCTCTGAGACGTCTCTTTTGTTTGGCGCTGTTTGTCCTACGATAGTTTAAAATTCATCCCTCCAATTTGAGAGATCAGTCTTCTCCGAATATGGAGACGCTGTAGAGGAGCTGGGGTATTGATGAATGGTTCTCACTTTCTTTTACCTTGTAGGAAATAAGACTAAAGTATGTTTCAGTCTGCAATGAAACGGACTGAATGCCGCCATTTTCTTTCTCTTTCTCCGGAAGTGGAAATAATTTTTGACAAAATGGTGCTCAAGTTGTTGACTTTCAAGGACTATCTTCTGGGTCCCAAGTCCGGAGCCCAACCCACAGTTACATTAACTGGAAATATCCATAAAAGGCAACATTGCATATTGGCAATGATAACGTTTCACTGACTGTTACACAAGTGAGGTTCAAAGATCAGGATCAGGAGATTAGATAGAGAGCCCAGTGAATGCTCTGAATTGGGCGGGTTGTTAAAATGAATCTAAGGTAAGTTTGAAGTGGGAAGTGGCAAAGTCACGTTGGTGTTAGTCTGATGATGGATGTGAAAATAGATTCCCAACTATTGCTCTGCAGCAGACTGTAGAGTTTCTGGAGACGAGCTTTATTGGTGACACTCTCTCAAATGGATAATTACCAGAACTCGTCACTCATCTTCTTGTTGTATTAACTTACGCAACAACAAATGCTTTATATAGAGCAAATGGTGCAGCGTATAATCACAGAGAAATTGACAGAATGTGAAAGAGGATTGAATCGAGATAAATTGAGAAAGAACAACAGAATAGAGGAGAGAGGGAGAGTGTGCTTCAGAAATGAGACAGTCCGATTTACAGAAATGGCGGAGCGTGTGTTGGAGAAAGGATGGGCATGCGAGAAAGAAACAGATTCAGGGAGAGAGCGATTGGGAAAGCAGTGAGTGACTGAGTGAGTGAGATTGTGAGACGGAGTGTGTGTGAGAGTGGTGGAGAGGGGCATTGATGGAGAATGATTGTGAGAGAATGAGAGAAGAGAATGTGTGTGGGTAAGAGAGTGAGTAAGAAATGAGAGAGACAGTGTAGGGAGAGGCGTGGATGGACATGGAGTAAAGAGAGAGATAGAGTGAGTGTGTAGAGAGATAATGAAACAGAGAAGTTTAGGGAACGGGAGAAAGAAAGAGGTGATAGAGTGAGTGTTTAACAGCGGTGGAGACAGATTGATTGATACTCAGACTGATAGAAGAAAGACAGAGTGTGAGAGTGATTGACAGAAAGGGTGGATGGAGTGAAAGAGAAGGACGAGCTGGGGAGGGTGGGGCGAGAGTAAGAGACAGAGGGAGAAAGCAGAGAGAGAGTGAAAGGGAATGATTGAGCGTGTGGGAGGAGAAAGTTTTTGCGAAAGAGGAGAGTGAAGAGGGGGAGTGAGTGACAGAGAGATGGGAGATAGAGAGAGTGTGAGAGGGGAAAGAGACTGAGAGAGGGATGATGTCGTGTGGGGAGAACGAGTGTGGTGAGAGAGAGTAACTGAGGGAGGGAGGCAACGTGTGAGAGAAACAAAGGGAGAGGGGGAATAGAAAGATTGAGAGAGTGATACAGAGAGAGTGTGAGGGGAAAGAGAGAAAATGAGCGACAAAATCCACAGCATTTACCACAATATTAACAAAATTGGCATCCCCAATAAGTTTATTTCTTCCTTTCCCATTCGGTATTTTGAAAATCCCTGAAGCCAAACTTTTGTTCCACACCCACAAACAAAGAACCATAGAGATGTACAGCACAGACGAAGATTATTCAGCTTATGGTGGATGTGATGGCACTTTTTGATAACAATTCTTTCAGTCCCATTTCCCTGCTCTGTTCTCAAATGCATTTGTCGATAGTTCATTCCTTTTAGATCTATATCTGGATATGTTTTGAAAGCCAATATAGATTCTGCCTCAAAGACCATTCCCGCCAGGGTTTCCAAAACCCAACACCCAAACGTGCAGGACAACATCGTCTCCAAACCTCCTCATTTGCTAATTTGCTATCTCTCTATCTTACATTGATGCTTTAAGAACTGAACCCCGACCAGTGGAACTTTTAGAGCAGGTAAAGATTGAGTTTCTCTGGCAATCTCCAAGGGAACAGGGCTTGGCTATGATTTACTGCCAGGCATTAGCTGTGGACTCTGACCAGTGTGTGTTGTTACCTGCACAGCCCAGAACACTGAAGCTACATCACTGAGAGGCTCGGGAACCAGAGGCAGGAACCGGAGCTCAGTCAGCGGGGAGACAAGACGGTGAGTCTCTCATTTGCTCTGATTGTGAATGAAATAAGGCAGTAAAGTTATTTCAGGTTTTTAGCACTTGGAATGATAGGAGAGGGAGAGATAAAGTGCGCAAGAAATGAATGGGAGACAGACGGTTGGACGGTGGAGTGCTTGACAGAAATGGGGGAGAGAGTGATAGAAAGGGCGTGGGTGGGGGAGTGAAACGACACCGAGAGAGAGAGAGACAGCGGACTGTGAGTGAGTGATTGAGAGTTTGGGAAAGAGTGTGTGTATGTTAGGGAGGCGTAGAGAGCGAATGGTGGAGAGTGGATTTGTTGAGAGAAAGAAGCAGAGAGAGTGGGAGGAAGCAGAGCAGTGAGAGAGTGGCAGTGAGTGACTTTATGGCAGAGGGGTAGAGAAATTTGTTAAGAGTGAGAGTGTGTGTGTAAGAATATGAGTGGAAAAGTCATTGACGGAAAGGGGTGAGAGAGTGTTGAAGTGGTGAGAGAAAGAAAGAGAGACAGGGAGAAAGCAGAGACACGGAGTTAAAGAAAGTGACTGACATTGTGGGAGGAGAGAGTGTGAATGAAAGGGGCGAGTGAGTGATCGAGAGAGTGGAGATAGAGAGACTGTGAGAGGGGAAAGAGAGTGTCAGTGGAGGGATAGGCGTGTGTGAGAAAGGGGGATAGAGAGGGAGAGAGAGAGAGGAATTGAGAGAGCGAAAGAGTGTCTGTGAGACAGAGCGAGAAGCGGGAGCCAATGACTGAGAGAGGAGAGGCAAGAAAGTGTAAAAGAGGGAAAGTGGGAAAGAAGGAAAAGGGAAATGAGAGAAAATCCACAACATTTAAACAACATAAAAAACGATTGTCCCCAATATTTTTTTTTCGGACCTTTCCCGATTAGTTTTCGAAAAATCTCAGAAGGCAACGTTTTGTACCACCCCCACAAACAAACAACCATAGAGATGTACAGCACAGAAGAAGGTTATTCGGTTTATGGTCACAGTGGTGGCACTTTTTATAACAATCCTTTCCGTCCCATTTCCCTGCTCTGTTCGCAAATCGCGCTTTAGACAGTTCACTCCTTTCAGATTGATATCTGGACATATTTTGAAAGCCCACATGGATTTTGCCTGAAATATCCCTCCCACCAGGGCTTTCCATAACCAAACAAACACCTGTGCAGGAAAAAAAATCACCAAACTTCTTCATATGCTCGTTCGTTAACGATCTTAAATTGGTGCTTAGCCACTTAATCTCGAACAGTGACACTTTTATAGCTGATAAGCATTTATTTTCTGTGGAAATCTCCAAGGGAACAGGGCGAGGCTGTGATTTACTGCCCGCCGTTAGTTGCTGGACTCTGACCAGTGTGTGTTATTACATGTACAGCTCAGAGCACTGAAGTCACATCACTGAGAGGCTCGGAACCAGAGGCAGGAACCGGAGCTCAGTCAGCGGGGAGACAAGACGGTGAGTCTCTATTTATACTGATTGTGGCTGAAATAAAGCAGGAAAGTTATTGCAGTTTTAAACGCAGGGAAATACCACTCCATGCGAACAGCACAAGATAAATGCAACTTATTGTTTGGTAGTTAGTGAAAGTTTACTGATATTAAATAACCCGGAGCCAGTGATCGTGGAATCATTTAAATTTAATTTGCTTAATTATTTAACTAACCATCGTGACATCGTTACGAAATGTAGGGAGAAATGTTCTTTGACATCTACTCATGAATTTGATTGATCCGAAATATCATTGATCAACGATAGGCCCTTGTGGAGAATATTAGCAACAGCCAGACTGGACGGGCTGAATGGCTTTTTCCTGAGCTTGCTTAATGCTTGCCCGTAGCTGATTTCTCTGACACAAGACATGATCCTGCTTGTTCTCCTCTACACTGCCTTAAGGAGTGGGGCAGACGCTTTTGTCTGCCATTGCACGAATCCTTCCATCTTGCTGTTTGTGTAGTTAGACTCCAGCTATTACCCCAAAACAGATTCTGGGCTTCCACCTGCCTTGACTCTTGCTAACCTGCAACTCATACTTTCTGGCAGTTGTTAAGCAGGATGGACGCTCCAGTGAGTGGTTGCTCATTTCATTCCTGCCATCTATCGCTGTAGTTTCCGCGTGTAGGTGGGATGCATGAACATCTCAGTTTTGTTTGTATACTGTTTGGTTTGTTGATGGTTTTCGAGCTGACAAAAGTAATATCATCAGAGACTACACTGCAGTTTAAGTGCTCTAAGATGCAAACATGTGAAGGAGCCTGTACTGTTATTATTGCTATGTTTGTTGACTTCTCTGAGATGTCCCTTTTATGGCTGAAGCTCCACAGAATGTCTAATTTTGTTTATCCCTGTAACTCAGAGTTTCACTCTCTTGTGGATCTGGAGATGCTGAAGAGAAGCTGGACCTTTCTGAATGTTGCTCGTTAGCTTTCATTATGTGGGAATCAGATTTAATGCTCAATCTTAATCTTCCCGACTGAATGCCTCCATATTCGTTCTCTTTTCCCATAAGTAGATATGATTTTGTTAAGATGGCTCTCATGTATTGACTTTTAAGGAGTCGAATGTAGCTTGCCTAATCTTTTTGGTCCAAGTCTGGAATCTAACGCCCAGTCTTATTACCTGAAAATATCCATCAAAGGCACCATTTCCTGTTTGCTTTGATACGTTTCACTGACTGTTACATAAATGAGGGTTCAAAGAGCACGAACAGGAGATTGAAGTACTGAACACAGTGGAATTAGCAGTTTATTGAAATATATCCAAGGGAAGGTTGAAGTTGCACGTGATACTCTCACTCTGGTGTTAGTCCATGATGGATAGGAAGGCGAGTGTAAGAGGAAGAGGAATAGATACAGCAATAATTTGCATTTGTACAGCACCGAAGCAGGGCAGAATCCCAAAGCTCTATAACCATACCTGGATCTAAAAGATATATAGTGTAAGAGGAACTGTATAGGGTGGAGTGAATAGTTTTTATTGCTCAAATTAAGAGATTAATAAAGAAATTCAGCACCACTTGCACGTTACAGGGCAATGTAAACTCGTTGCAGCGTGGCTCAGTGCTCGCACTCTCTCACCTGTGTCAGAAGGGTGGGTTTAACCACAAATCTGGACCGGAAATAACATGACCTAAGATGAGAATCCAATACCTTACTTGGGTGTTTGCATTTTCAGAGGTCCCATGCAAACGACACCGGAGTAGAGTTCGAGCCCTGGAAAAGATGAGATGAAAGCTTGTCAACTGATGTTCGGGTGCATCAGGCATGGGAGAAAAAGAATAAATGAGCCAGGATGGTGAGAGCAGCTTGGGCAATGGGGTTTAAAAATGTCACAGAGATAGAATGTGCGAGCCACGCAAAGATGTAAACAGGGGACACGGATATGAATTGAATCTGTAAGAGAAGCTTTCTAAACAGTGTTCTCAAGGCAAGTCACACATTTTGAGCTTGTTAAACTCCATCAATATCTGCTATCCATAAGCGTACACAATGAGGTCCTCACGCTTCCACTCTTGCCAATGTGCATCTAATGCTTTCAGGTATAAGGCTGAAAGTAGATATGCCTCTGGGACATTCCATTCTAAGCGAAGCTTATTTGATGTGTTGGTGGGCGGAAGCATTCTTAGTCTGATTTGGATACCCTTAATCACGGTGTTCGTTTGTACATGTGCCAGACATCCGGCAACCAAATAAATGCTACAGGATCGAGTGGAGCGACAGATTGATGGTAATACAAAACAAAATCACTTTTTATAGCGCCTTTCATGTTGGGAGGACATAATGATAGATATATGGAGACTGGTGTAGGATCGCTAACAAGCTGCAGTTTTGTATTTTCTGCAGTTTGAGTAGAGACCGTGTTTGAATGCATTGAGTAAGTGATTCATATAGTCTGGCCCCAACATAATAAAGTTGTATATATGTTTTTGTCACCCCAGGGGAGGGGGTTTAAGATGTGTAGCTGCAGGCAAGCAATATTATAGAGGTGACGAAAGCCAAGAGTGGGTGAGAGCCAGGTTACATGGATTAAAGGACAGTTAAAGTGGAATAAGATAATGTTCTTCTAATTGGCTCAGCACGGTGAACTTGGCTTTGATGCAGATTGATGCCGTCAATACCTAGGGCGAGAAGACACTATCAGGGCTCAAACAAGTGAGCCTCTCTCTTGACAAAATCAACTGAAGATAGATGGAGATCAATCAGCATTTGATGTCTTATAGTCAGAACAACAATGTTCTTCGAGTCCAGGGTGAAGGGTAGAGTTGTGTTTCGTCCACATCATATGGCAGTGCAAACCATGTCTCTGGATTATGTCAACAAAGTGGAGCATGTAGATGGTGAAAAGTAGAAGTCTCAGGAAGGATCTCTGATGTGATTGTGTGGAGGCAGGAGGAAAAGCTGTTAGATGACACAAAATACAGAGATTGTGGTGGGAAGTGAGGGAGTGGGGTGGTGGGTGTTGCATGGACAAGTACAAAGACTAGGATTTGAGGCGGGCTCAACAACAGAAAGCGCAAAATGTATTTCTAGAGAGAAAGAGAGAAGACCAGAGTTGGGGCCTTGGAACTGTAGGCAATGGTGGCGTGGAGTGGGATATCCAGGTTCAATATGTGACAACCTGACTTGTGAAATATGTGCGTGTGTATGTTTGTCAGTGTTAGTAGCATGGGACTGAGTTGAAGGGTGTGAGTGTGTGAGCTGTTGAAGTGTTTGTGTGTGTGTCAGTGTTGTGACTTGTATGCTAGTTGTGGAAGTAATGTGTGTCATTCTTGGTGGCATGCAGCTGAGCTAGTGAAGTATGTGTGTCAGTGTTGGTGACATGCAGCTCAGCTGGTGAAGTGTGCGTGTTAGTTTGGTACCATGGAGCTCAGCTGGTTATGTGTGTGTGTCAGTGTTGCTGAGGACACAATGGGGCTGAGCTGATGGATCTTTTGTGTGTCATTGTTGGTGACATGGAGTTGAGCTGGTGATGTGTATCAGTGTTGGTACATGGTGCTGAGCTGGTGAAGTATGTATGTACCATTGGTGGCATGGAGCTGAGCTGATTATGAGTGTGTGGTGTCAGTTTTGGTGAGGACATCATTGGGCTGAGCTGATGGAGCTTTCGTGTGTTATTGTTGGTGACATGGTGCTGAGCTGGTGATGTGTGCATAGTGTGGTGAGGGCACGACGGGGCTGAGCTGGTGAAGTGCGTTGGTGTCAGTGTTGGTGAAGTCAGCATGGGGCTGAACTGGTGAAGTGTGTGTGGGTCAGTGTTGTTGAGGAAACTATGGGGCTTTACTGGTTAATTGTGTGTTAATTTCTGTGCTATGTAGCTTTGTCGGTGATGTGAGTTTCAGTATTGGTGAGGACGCCATGGGGCTGAGCTGGTGAAGTGTGTGTGTGGGTCAGTGTTGTTGAGGATATTACAGGGCTTTGCTGGTGAAGTGTGTGTCAGTTTCTGTGCCATGCGGCTTTGTTGGTGATGTGTGTGTGTCACTGTTGGTGAGGGCACCATTTGGCTGAGCTGGTGAAGTGTCCTGGTGTTAGTGTGGTTGAGGACACTATGGGGCTTTACAGGTGAAGGGCGTCTGTGGCATGGGGCTAAGTTAGGGAACTGGATCTATCAGAGTTGTTGCATGAGGCTAGAGAAGTACGCGTGTGTGAATGTTGGTTGCATGGAGCTGATCTGGTGATGAGGTGTGTGTGTGTTAGTGTTGGTGGCAAGATGCTGGGTTGGAGATGTGTATGTGTATCAGTGTTGATGACATGGTGCTCATTAGGGTAAGTATGTGTTTGTACGTTTTCGTGGCATGGGGCTGATTTGGAGATGTGTCGTGGTGAGGACACTGTGGGACTGATCTGCAGAAATTCATTTGTGTACTGTTGGTGGCATGGTGCTGGGCTGAGGAGGAAGCCTGAATCCCAGGATAATCCCGAGAAAGAATGCTAGAACAAGCCAGTCAAGCTGACGCCAGTGGGAGGAAACTTCAGGGAGTATAGTCCGGAGCAACATTAAATTTCGATCAGTAAAATATGGGTTATTAAAGGCAAATCGTGTCTGGGAAAAAAAACTTGTAGAGTTTTTTGCTGAAGGATTGGATAGTGTGGATGAAGGTAGTGCAGTTGATGTAGTTTATATGGATTCTCAAAAGGCGTTTGATAAAGTGCCACGTAAGGGACATGTTAAGCAAAATGGAACCCCAGGGTATTAAATGGACAGTAGTAGCATGAATACAGAACTGGCTGGGAGACAGAAAGCAGAGAAGGATGTGTGCACTGGTGTCACCTAAGGACACCAATATTGGGTCAACCGCTGTTTCTGATCTACATAAGTTATCTGGACTTGGGTATAGGGATCACAATTTCCAAGTTTCCAGACGAGAATTAGCTAGGAAA